AGACTATAGACTAGACTGTCGACAAGACTATAGACTAGACTATAGACTAGACTATAGACTAGACTATAGACTAGACTAGAGACTAGACTAGAGACTAGACTATAGACTTGACTTTAGACTATGCTATAGACTAGATTATAGACTAGACTATAGACTAGACTATAGACTAGATTATAGACTAGACTATAGACTAGACTATAGACTAGACTATAGACTAGTTTATAGACTAGACTATAGACTAGACTATAGACTAGACTATAGACTAGACTATAGACTAGACTATAGACTTGACTATAGACTAGACTATTGACTAGACTATAGACTAGACTATAGATTAGACTATAGATTAGACTATAGACTAGACTATAGACTAGACTATAGACTAGACTAGAGACTAGACTATAGACTAGACGATAGACTAGACTATAGACTAGACTATAGACTAGACTATAGACTAGACTATAGACTAGACTATAGACTAGACTATAGACTAGACTATAGACTAGACTATAGACTAGACTATAGACCAGACTATAGACTAGACTATAGACTAGACTATAGACTAGACTATAGACTAGACCATAGACTAGACTATAGACTAGACTATAGACTAGACTATAGACTAGACCATAGACTAGACTATAGACTAGACTATAGACTAGACCATAGACTAGACTATAGACTAGACTATAGACTAGAATATAGACTAGACTATAGACTAGACTATAGACTAGACTATAGACTAGACTATAGACTAGACTATAGACTAGACTAGAGACTAGACTATAGACTAGACTATAGACTAGACTATAGACTAGACTATAGACTAGACTATAGACTAGACTATAGACTAGACTATAGACTAGACTGTAGACTAGACTATAGACTAGATTATAGACTAGACCATAGATTAGACTATAGACTAGACTATAGACTAGACTGTAGACTAGACTATAGACTAGACTATAGACTAGACTATAGACTAGACTATAGACTAAACTATAGACTAAGCTATAGACTAAACTATAGACTAGACTATAGACTTGACTTTAGACTATGCTATAGACTAGACTATAGACTAGACTATAGACTAGACTATAGACTAGACTATAGACTAGACTATAGACTAGACTATAGACTAGACTATAGACTAGACTATAGACTAGACTATAGACTAGACTATAGACTAGACTATAGACTAGACTATAGACTAGACTATAGACTAGACTATAGACTAGACTATAGACTAGACTATAGACTAGACTATAGACTAGACTATAGACTAGACTATAGACTAGGCTATAGACTTGACTATAGACTTGACTGTAGTCTTGACTTTAGACTATACTATAGACTAGATTATAAACCAGACTATAGACTAAACTATAGACAAGGCTATAGACTAGACTATAGGCAACACTATGGACTAGACCAGACTATACTTTGGACTATATTATAGATTAACATCAAACAAACTTTTCACTCTTTTTAGCCTGAAACATGTCTTCTAATCTAGAAGTTTATATAGGAAAGTATCTAATACCGGAAATTGTGGCACAATTGGACAATGAAGAATTGATTTCGTATAAAGCGAAATCAACAGGAGGCTTAGATAGTTTTATGTCCAGTTTGTATGATATTAAATTAAAAACTAAAACCAGAGAAGGGTAAATTTCACTCAAAAAACCTATACTTAATAATTTATTAATAACTTTATAATTGCAGCATAAAAGAACGTTTATTATTTGCCAAATTTATGCGTGGCGATGTAAGTTTTCGTGAAACTAGCAAATCTTATACACAATTTTCCAATGAAATCTATGCCTATGGTAAGGTCTTACCCGCCTATGATAAATTGTTAAAAGATTTAAATGTTAATAGTTTAAATGTAAAAGATTTAGTGGCGCCTATCTACATAGCCAAATTTGGTTATATAGAGGGTTTAAGCTCTGCCCCTAATGTCAGAGAAGCGGCTTTGGTTATGGAAAATCTTAAGTCATTAGGCTATCAATTGGGTCCACGTTTGGTGTTGAAAACAGAACACCTTTTAAATATGTCTAAACGTTTGGGACAATTACATGCTTTGTCCTATGCTTTAAAAGCTGTAGAACCCAAACAATTCGAAACTTTAAAGTCGGGTATTATAGATTTTCCATTTATTAATGAAAATGATCCGAATGATATTAAAAATAATAGTTATCGTATTTTACACCGACATGCCTTTGATCGTTTATACGATTTCGTTGAACGTAAACTTAATACAGAAACTTTTAATAAGAAATGTTCCAAAGATTTGAAACTAATCGAATGTTTGGAAAAATTAAAAGCTAAATATTTTGATTTACCTACCCGTTTGCCCGAGAAGTTAAGAACGAAAGTAAATAATACTGAAGAAGATCGGTATTTTGCCACCATTTTGCATGGAGACTACAATCGTAATAATGTTTTATTTAAATATAAAGCTGAGGAAGTAACAATGTATAAGGATAATTTTGTAAAAGATGTTAAACTAATAGACTTTCAGGTAATTTTTCTAAACAAATTATTAAAACTTTCAAAAAGTGTTTGTTTGATCTTGCAGCAATTACGTTTTGACTCTCCCGCTTTGGATTTATCTTTCTTTATGTATTTTAATACCGCTGAAGAGGAACGTTATGCAATTTGGGAAGATTTATTGAAAACCTATCATAACACCATGTTTTCTACTCTCTCCACTACTTTAAAAGCTTCCCAGAAGTCGGTAGAGGATATTTCCAAGATTTTACAGAACTATACTTTTGCTAAATTTCTTGCGCATTTTGCCCGTTTTGCCTTTTATGGTGTTGTTATCTGTTTGCACTTTTTACACTGGATGTTTTGCAGTCCCCAGGAATGTACGCGTATATCGGAGTTATGGACCACCGATATTCATGGTGAAGAATTTCGTAAATTGTCTTTGGAAGCGGGGGGAGATGAAGTGAATATGAAATTTTTGTCAATTCTCAGACATGCCTGTGAAATGGGTTATATGGATGATTTGTAAGCGATTTAAAAACTTAACTTTTCTACAAAATTAAGTTCGAAAATTTCGAAATTTGATTTAAACTGCAGTTTAAGACAAAAAACAACTGTTTATAAGATAATAAAACATATTCAAACTACATACATATTTTGAATCAATCAATGACTTCACACCTTGACATACATAATTTCCTCTTTCACTTTTTTCCTCTTAGACTTTTTTAAAGAAATATTTACACAAGTGTTTTAAGCGCCTCACTAACTTAGATCAATTCAACATATAAATTATGATGCTTTGAATCATGGAATAATAGTAGATCTTTAAACAACAATAGAACAACAACATTTACTACCAATTACCAAAACAAAAATTTTTCTAACATGAAATTTCTCATAAGTTTTCTACTAATCTTTACCATTACCCTACAAACAAAGGCCGCTTATAGGGACAATCTTCTTTACGACGACTCCAACCAAAAACTCAACGATTCAAAAGCCTTAAAAAACTGTGACGAACGCGTTTGTTCGCGTATTTATCGTCCCTTATGTATATCTGTTGATGGCATACAGACCACTGTTGCCTCTCGTTGTCACTTGGCTAAACTTCGTTGTGATGCTATGAAACATAAGTTGGAGAATTCCAAAGCTCCCCGACCCATTATACGTGTGGTGCATATTGGCGGTTGTTATGATAAGCCTAAAAGAAGACCAAATTCAAAATGGTTGCGCTATCCCGAAGATGGTAAATACAAAGGACGCTATTGAGCAGCAGGAGTTTTGCAAAATATAGTTAATAATTTATTTAGTTTAATAAAATATTAGTTAATTAAACAAAATTTCACGATTTTTTTCTTCAAATATACTCGACACTATAATTTTGACCTCAAACAGAACTAGAAAAAAACTAGAACAGAACTAGAACAGAACTAGAACAGAACTAGAACAGAACTAGAACAGAACTAGAACAGAAACTAGAACAGAACTAGAACAGAACTAGAACAGAACTAGAACAGAACTAGAACAGAACTAGAACAGAACAGAACTAGAACAGAACTAGAACAGAACTAGAACAGAACTAGAACAGAACTAGAACAGAACTAGAACAGAACTAGAACAGAACTACAACAGAACTACAACAGAACTAGAAAGAACTAGAACAGAACAGAACAGAACTAGAACAGAACTAGAACAGAACTAAAACAGAACTAGAACAGAACTAGAACAGAACTAGAACAGAACTAGAACAGAACTAGAACAGAACTAGAACAGAACTAGAACAGAACTAGAACAGAACTAGAACAGAACCAGAAACAGAACTAGAACAGAACTAGAACAGAACTAGAACAGAACCAGAACAGAACTAGAACAGAACTAGCACAGAACTAGAACAGAACTAGAACAGAACTAGAACAGAACTAGAACAGAACTAGAACAAAACTAGAACAGAACTAGAACAGAACTAGAACAGAACTAGAACAGAACTAGAACTGAACTAGAACAGAACTAAAACAGAACTAAAACAGAGCTAAAACAGTACTAGAAGAGAACTAGAACAGAACTAGAACAGAACTAAAACAGAACTAGAATTGAACTAGAACAGAACTAGAACAGAACTAGAACAGAACTAGAACAGAACTAGAACAGAACTAGAACAGAACTAGAACAGAACTAGAACAGAACTGGAACAGAACTAGAACAGAACTAGAACAGAACTAGAACAGAACTACAACAGAACTACAACAGAACCAGAAAAGAACTAGAACAGATATAGAACAGAACTAGAACAGAACTAGAACAGAACTAGAACAGAACTAGAACTAAACTAGAACTAGACTAGAACTGAACTAGCACTAGTCTATGGTTTGCTTTATAATTTAGTCTATAGTTTAGTCTGAAGTCTAGTATATAATTTTGTGTTTTAGTTTTTGTTTTATTCAATTTTAAATAAAACTTCTTGGATTTTTTTTTGTAAATTTTTTATACATCTTTATTTTTTATAGTTTTTTTTATTGTTTAAAATATTTTTTTTTATTATTTTTTCAATTATTATTGTGGTTTCATTTACAGGATATATGTTTTGTTTAATTTTATATAGATTTTTTTGTTTAAAATTTTTTTTATTTAAATTTTTGCAAAATTTATTTGAAAAACTTAGCAAATTGGGTTTAATTAAAGTGTTGAGTGTGTGGGAGGGGATTGAGAAAGGAGGCTATTTTAAAGGATGGAGGTTTTTTAAGGGAATTTATTTATTTTTTGTTTTTTAAAGAAATTATAATTATTTTTAAAAATTTTTTTATTAGATTTTGTTTAATGTTTAGTTTTGTTTTAATAAATTATAAACTTATTTATTTATATGTTTATTGGTGGGTTAATTTTTTGTGTTTTTTTTAACTTTTGTTATAAACTGTTTTTTTTTTGTTTGTATATTTTTTATGTTTAAGAAAAAATTATATTATTTATTATTTTTGTTTTTGTTAAATATATTTTTATGTTTTCTTAACTATTTTACGCACACACATTTTGATGAGCTGGATTTTTTGGTTTTATGTTTGTATTTGAGAGTAATAACCAAATATTAAAAGAAAATAAAAAAGAAAAATTCAAATTTTATTTAAAAAAAATTATTGTTTTTTAAGAAATTGGGAAAAATTTTAAGAATTTTTTTTTAACATTTTTTAATATTGCTAAATGTTTTTTTTTGTTTTTTTTTTATAATAAAGTACCTAAGCAGTATCAAAACATTTATTTTATTTTTTTTTATTAAATTTTGTAACATGTTGTTTTTTTTTCTGAGTGTATAATTTATTTTTTTTATAATTTTAATGTTTTTTTTAGTTTATTTTAGTTTTTTTTTGTATATAAATAGCTATTTTTAATATTTTTTTTTTTAATTTTGTTTATTATATAATTAAATTCAATTTGTTTTTTTATTTTTTTAATAATTTTTAACTAAATTTTTTTCTGTTAAATTTTTAGTTTATTTTTAATAAATTTTTTATTTTTTTTTCATTTAAAATCTATTTAACATTTATATATATAGTTTTATTTAACTAATTTTTTTATATATATAGTTTTTTACAAATTTCTTTTAACTTTCAACATTTAAAAAAGCTGTTTTTTTTTAATTTTAATTAAATAACTTTTATAATAAATTAGTTTATTTTTTTTTACAAAGTTTTTTTTTGTTTGTTTATGTTTTGTTAAGTTTACAAATGCAGCTGGTAAAACAATTTTTAGTTTTATTTTATAATTATTTATACAATTATAAAGAGGAGAAGCCAATGTAAGGCTAACCCTAGTCCAGAACAACAGGGGAAGTTTATAAAAAAAAAAAATTATAAAAATTGAACAAATTTTCTTTATTATAATTAAGAAATGGTATGCAAAATGTTCATAACACTCAAAATTTCTAAAAACAAAACTTTTTTCTTGAATTCCCAAAAACTTTATGAAAATCCCCAAAATCCCTTTACTTTAAAAATAACAAAATTTGCAGTTAATTGGTAATAAAATGTAAAATAATTGCTTAAAATAGCATAGTTACCAAAAATACCATTTTTTTCTTGAATTCCTAAAAACTTTTTTTAAAATCCTCAAAAATCCCTCAAAAGAAAATTAATAAAAATCGATAATTTTGCAACTAATTGTCAGGAAAATTAATAACAAATACTTAAAAATGTCTAATAATCAAAAAAATAACTTTTTCATTGAATTCCCAAAAACTTTTTAAAAATCTCCAAAATACCTTTAACTAAAAATAGCTGAATTTGTGTTTAATTGGTTATAAAATATATAAAAATTGCTTAAAATAGCATAGTTACCAAAAATACTACTTTTTTTCTTGAATTCCTACAAATTTTTTAAAAATCCCCAAAAATCCCTCAAAAGAAAATTAATAAAAATCGATAGTTTTGCAACTAATTTTCAGGAAAATTAATACCAAATACTTAAAAATGTCTAATAGTGCAAAAAATTACTTTTTCCCTGAATTACCAAAAACTTTTTAAAAATCCCCAAAATCCCTTTACTTTAAAAATAACTAATTTAGCAGTTAATTGGTAATAAAATGTAAAAGAATTGCTTAAAATAGCATAATTACCAAAAATACTACTTTTTTCTTGGAATCCAAAAAATTGTCCTGAAAGTTAATAAGAAATACTTAAAAATGTCTAATAACGCAAAAAAAAAACATTTTTCTGGAATTCCCAAAAACTTTTTGAAAATACCCAAAATCCCATAATAGAATTTTAATAAAAAATTTCTAATCTTTTGCCAAATTGTACTGAAAATTAATAAGAAATACTTAAAAATGTCTAAACTTGCCAAAAACCACTTTTTTCTTGAATTCCCAAAAACTTTTTAAAAATACCCAAAAATCCCTTTTCTTAAAAAATCTTCAAAATGCTATTTTTTAAAAAAAAACTTCATAAGAATTGTTTAAAAAAGTTAACATTTCAAAAAACAACAATTTTCTTATGAATTCCCTAAAAATTTTAAATTCCCAACAAATTTTTTAAAATACCCAAAATTCCCTTTTAAAGAAAATTAACTTAAAAACTAGTTTTAACTTAAATTTTCAATAAAAATTTCTAAAATTTATATAAAACCATAAAATTTCTTTAATATGTTTAACATTTATAAGAAGTTTTACCACTTCCCCTGTTTTTTTTTTTTTCTGGAGCTAAAAAGTTTCCCTTCTTTTCTCTGTTTTATTTAATTTTTTAATATTTTACAAAGTTTTGTGGGTTTTCATTTTTATACAATTTATTTTTTGTTATTTTTTTAGTCTTTTATTTATTTCCAGTAAGCGTAAGTTAAGATTTTATAGATTTTTAATTGTTGTTTTTGTTTTTTCTTTAAAAAAATGATCTATAAAATCTTGTATTTAAAAAAGTTATAGTTTTTTTATAGGGTTTCTTTGTTTGTGGGTTTTTATTTTGTGTTGTTTAAAGGGGTGGATGCCACAGTTTAAAAATTTGTTAGTAACAATATTGAGGGAGGTCTTAGGTTTTTTTCTTTGTTATTAGAGGGGGTAAAAGGAAAGAGGGGTTAGTTATTAAGGGAAAAATGGTAGTTGGTAACGCTAGAATTAAGTGCAATGAGGAGAAATTGTGGGAACAATTTAAGAACGAAATGTAGTTGTTCTATTGTTAGCTTTAGATTAAAGTTAGTTTAAAGTTCAAATTTTCCAAAAAATATTCAAATATATTATTAGTTGGCAATGCGAACAATTTTAAATGGATAAATCTATTTAATTTGTTATAGGAAATTAAGAAAGAAAAGAAGAAGTTGTTGGAATTTGAAAGAAAAAGTTATAAAATATCTATAGTTGTTCGAAAATGTTCAATATTTTTTAGTTGGCAACGCAAAAATATTTCTAATAGTAACATAAACTAAACAAATCTAATATTTTTATGTTTATTAAATAATTTATAATTTCTATATTCAAAATTGATTACAAATGGCAACGCTAAAGTGTCTATATCTTTAAAAAGGTTAATAAATGAGTTGGCAATGCGATATAATATAAAATTTTTATGAGAATTTTCGAAAAATTTTACAACTCTTAAAGAAATTATTATAAAAACCTTGAAAATTTATAAAATTTATTTAAGTTGGTAAAACATTTTAGAGTTGGTAACGCGAAATTGTGTAAATGTTTAATAATTTAGTTGGCAATGCGTTGAAATTTAAATTTTTTCATCAAAATTATTGAAAAGTTATGCAATCATTAAATAAATTGTTATAAAAACCTTTAAAATGTATAAATCTTTTTTTAGTTGGCAACTCGTTTTTTTTAATTTTTAAGAAAAAGTAAGTTAAACTTATGAAAATG